GTAGGAGTTGGTGAGGCAATGCCATTTGATGAGGTGATACCTGCTATCCTACCATCCTGCTTGGAACTCATTAAAGAGCTCTTAATAAAAATAAGAAAATTGAATTTTTCACAGCTTTTAAGCAAGGGCCTTTTATAAGAGTATAATTCTTATATAGCTCATTATTTTACTATTGCTACCACAAAGTCATTGATTTCAAATGTAATGTAATTAACATTCATTAGGCGTAAGTTAGAGCAACAGACTATTCAAACCTACAAAGCAAATATTGTACCCCACCTGTGCTCCTAACTCAAGTATTAAGCAGTACAATTAATCTGCATTTGCTGCTTAAGGAGCTTCTAAACCACACATATACTCAGAAATCTCAGCCATAACTCACAGCTTACTTGGACCTCAGTTCACATCTCAGCTCTGCCACTGATGTGGGACAAGACTTAGTCAGGTTATTTAGCCTATTGTTACATTTGTTTCCCATGTCTGAAAGTGGATGATACTTCTCAGTCACCCCACAGGGATGTTATAAGACTGAATTTGCTCCAGTTTGCGAAATTTTTGTGGTCCTTGTCTTACTGTGTGGAACTGGAATGCGGTACACACGTGCCAAATGTTCCTACTATCCTACAGCAACTGGGACAGATTTTACACATACCAGCTCTTTTACTCTGGGACAACTGGCTGCTGAGTCAAGTGGTGATGGGGCACACTGAGGACAAGGCAGACGAAATGCAAGCAGAAAAGTGAACCGTTACTCTAATGTTGCGGAAAAAAAACCCACGAAAGCTCCCAGTAAAATTGGAGTCTCTGTAAACAAGAGAACAACATAACCCCTTCTCAGAAGAGTCTTTGACAAGCTGTTGTATTGATAGCTGATTCTGGCAGCTGGCAGCTGCAGAATATTAATGAAGCATTGGTACAAGAGTGGTCTGAACAGGTTGATCGTGACTGACTGAATTTACAGCGCATGATATCAAGATACATTATCTGTCTGTAGCATTTGCTCTTCGCTTGACCTTGTTGATTGCTTGCTGCTTTCTCTCTTTTTTCCTCTTTTTTCTTCCTTTCTTCCCTCCTTTCCTCCCATCCTCCCTCCTTCCTTCCCTCCCGTTCTCTCTTTCGTTTACTAGTTCTCATTTGCTCAATTAAGTTCAAAGGTGCTGAGACCTATATAGTAAAAAATTTTGCATATTAGATGTTTTAAAAGTGTTCTTTTGCTCTGTTTCTCTCCCATTATTTGTTAGCAGACACATACAGCTCTTATTATGGTAAGCTATGTTCTTCTTCACTGCTTACATAAATGGGATTTATACAGGGGAACTAGAAGGAGCTTAGGAGAAAATCCTTGTGCAGAGTCTGACTCAGGGTATGGCAAGGCTGAGCAACCTCTCTGTGTCTGACAGAGAGAAGGGAGATTGATGGCTTCTCTCAGGACGCGCTTCAGTCACTATTCATTCCCCTGCTGCTTCCCTGGGCAGAGGGCAGGCAGTGTTCCTCACCCACTGCTTGCCTATAAAAGCATAGGTATGAGCAGTGCTTACTCACTGGTTTTAAGCACATGATGAAATCCACATGACAGACTAAAAACACTGGTGGTGACCTTTATTTACTCAAGTACTGCCTTTTTGTTTGTTGTTTTTTTTTTCAGTCTGGTCCTGTGTCCTTTACATGGACATCATCACACATGCCTGTTTTTATGTTTTCTCTCATTTTTCTTTTTATCCTTCACAGCCCATAATAAGCTCCAATAGCTCTGAAAAGGCATTTTGCTTATCACTGCTTCATTCCTTCCTCTTCTGCCTCTTCCCTTGTCAGCATTTATATCCACTTACCTAAAATGCTGTTTTATTTTTATTGCTCATGGATTTTGCACTTGTCCAGGTACTACCTATACTACCCAAATCGTGACAGTTAGGCTTAGATTACAGCCAGGTATATTAATGTGCTGGACTGCTTTAGGAGGAGTTCACTTTCAGGGATATTAAGTGCCAATTTTACACGAGAAAGTTTCTTTAGCTCCTGAGAAGTTATGGGATGTTTGAAATGTTGGACTTAACGTTTCTGACAAAATGAATACTTTTTTCGTTTTGGTGGGAACGTATATTTATCCTTTTTTTTTTTCCTTTTCACCTTTTATTAACCGGAGCTAAAATTGGCTATCACGATCATAAAGGAACATCAGGAAAGCTATTAATAACTCTACCCTGTGGAATAAACAGGAGGTGTGAGATACAATGATCCAGACTCTTCTTTGTGACAATGTAATGTCCAGCATACTGTAGCAGACAGCCTCTTTCCGCAGCAGCACTACACGCTGGCCACGCAGTGGGCTTTGCAGCAGTTTGCCTCTAGGCTGGGGCACAGGAGCAGCCAATGCCCCTTTGCTCATCTCCCTCATATCCTCTTAGTTCACCGTGAAGTTTTTGAAAGGAAGAAAGCACTGAACCGTCAGAGCCTGTTCTGCTGCCCTAAAGAGGCGGATATAATGGGATCCTTCCAAAGTGCTGATGCCTTAGTGACATTCAGGAACCTTCAGCATTCTTCTGACTAATGTGGTGGCAGTGATTTTTCAAAGTGGTTGTGTATTATTTTTCGGAAAAGGAGTGCTTCCTCAATAAATTGATAATTATTTTCCATTTTTATGGAGAGTGATCCCTCGATGTTGTGTGGTATTACTAAAATTTATAATAGAGATAGAAGTGTTGTCATATGAATATGAAATATGAAAACAAATATGCTCAAACCTTTGAAGTGTAAGAAAACAATAGTTAACCTTTTTTTATAGGAAATAGCCAAAAGTTTACTCAGATGAGCAGAACAACAACTTTTGGGGACAGATAGCAAACTGTTGTTTACTCTCACTCAACGCACAGAAATAAGGTTCTACTTTTCATGCCAATTTGAATTTTTGTACTTTTGAAGGCAATTGATCACCTCTATGTGTGTTGTAAGATACAGTGGACTTTCTGAGATACTCTTCCTTCTAACAAGCCCTGATTCAGCAAAATCAAGCCGATATTTAACTGCTTTGCCAAAGTTAAGCCTCAGCAACTAGAATTATCTCTACTTGTCCAGCTACTTCTAGTGGCAGATCCAGGTTTTTCCTCACTGGTGTATGTCAGTAGACTAGTATTGAGGTGAGATTCGGATAAGCAGAAACAAAGTACATGCCAGGGGTTCCTTCTGGACATACGTATAAAAAGATTTATATGTGCTGCGTACAGAGTAATAGATATCTATTGCTGCCAGCAGCAAATCTGTATGATATGGTGCAGAAGTCAAACTACCTGGGCTTTTGCAACCTTGCATAGAAGTTAGATGTTTTGGTGGTTGATTTAGCTTCCCCCTGGAGGTCTGCCAATATCAGGGTGATGTCTACAATGAGCTTCAGTAAAGTGGAGAATCAGAAGTACAGTGGGTTTTTATCACAGGGCTAGCCTAGTGCTAGGTAATCTTTGCTCATGGCTGGTTTTGTGGCATGTATTGAATGCAGTGCTACGTGAAGTTTACCCCGAATGTACTCCAGGCACTATCCCAAGAGATTAATATAAGCTGATGCAGTTCGTTTTTTAGTTTTTGTTAAGGTTAATCATATCACTCCCACTGCTAATGCAGTTTGCTATGAGAAATTGGAATACGCCCTAAGTGGCACGGAAGAAATCACATAGAGACTTGCTGATAATCATAAGCATAACAGCAACCTACACACTGTTATCATCCACAGCTTTCAATACCGGTATGGCAGGAGACCAATCAAGAGTAATAAGTTGCCTAAATGCCAAGAAAGAAACAGGGAGGAGGGAGGAATTTTCAGTTCATGCTGTCTGTGTAGGTTGAATTACACAGAAAAAAACACAGCGGACTCCAGTTCTCTGTTTAATAATAAGGGGATTTTATAGTGGCAAAAAATCCCAGAATTACTAAATTGTGTAGGATTCTCGCTACTGCATGTTTTCTGAAAGAGTTATGCAGAATGTAGAAACTTTACATTTTTAGATATCAGGATGATAATAACAGTATAAAAAATTATTTCAAGCCTTAGGAGTTTTATGTGGATTACCTGTGATTTACTGAGCTGCCTGAATGTGTTGGTTGCACCTCTCAGAACCTCTATAAGGTAGCACTCTGGTGGCATCTATTATGGTAAATTCTAAATTAGAGAATAGCTGTGGAAAGTTTGTGGGGTTATTAGTGAAAGGCTTCCTGATGCCTTTTGACATGTGGAAACATAGCAAAAATAGTCTCATCAAACTCCACATAGTTCCTGCAAGTAATAGCAATGCCATCTAATATGAAGACGAAAAATTTAAAAATAAAAGTACAATATGGAATTGCAATATTTTGTATGTATTTTATGGATACACAGGAAATTTTAAATCTCTGCTTAGAACACGCTTTTTAGATGTTCTCATGAGATAAACAAGAGATATCAACAATGGTCAAAAATTGGATAATGACAGCATGTGATAAAAAACGTGTAATGAATTTATTCCTTGCTGTTGTTGCTGATAATTCTGCTGAGGTACTGGTAAATTTTACTAGCAAAATGACATTTAGCGATAATTTACTGTAACTTTTTCCCGTTTTTTCCTATAAGTTCAATTTCCAGGTTTTTCTTTCTGTTTCATTCCTGTGCTAAATCCACACTGTAGATAGCAGAGCTACATAAATTAACCCACACAAACACGTCATTTTCCAATCAGTGACTAATTGCAAATAGAACTTCAGTGTCTGAGGGCAGTGATTTGTAATAGTTGCCACATATTGAGTAGGATATTGCAAATCTTCTTGCTGCGTAAGATTTTTTGCGAAACAGATTTTGCTTCTAAAAACAGATACTCACACTCTGTGGTCCAATGAAATCTGGAAATTGATCTCTGCTTTATCATCCCTGCAGATGACGACAGAGTAGTGCAGTTTGATAAAGAGAAAAAGAAAACTGTTTAAAACCTTGTTTCTTCTCTTCTTTTTCAGCCTAGTTGGAGAAAACACAGAGACCAAAAATGCCACCAATGACAACAGCGCCCCAGTACCCGCCTCCAGATGGAGGTTGGGGGTGGGTTGTGGTCTTTGGGGCTTTTATCTCCATTGGATTTTCCTATGCATTCCCCAAAGCCATCACAGTATTCTTCAAAGAAATACAGGAAATCTTCCACACATCATATAGTGAGATAGCTTGGATATCATCAATAATGTTGGCTGTCATGTATGCAGGAGGTAAGACATTTGTGAAATTTTAAAATATCATAGTTGTTTTGTTTATTTTCTATGGTCTTAAAGCATTTTACAGTTAGTTACTACCTGATTTTACCATTATTACCTAAAGAATTTACCAAATTACATGGGGTTTTTTGCATCATACTTTATCACAGAGTATTGGTGACCACATCATTAAAGTCATGCTTACTTTGCCTTTAAAATATTTTATATTCTCTTCCTTTTTGCTTTCCACTTAGGGCTTTTTGTTTGTTCCTCTATCTAATTCTATTTTGCAATTTGCCCTAAATTCACAGTTTCTGAGAACTACATTTTCCAACAAAACAATGCCCAAGTAACTTCTCTTGGGACTGGGAGTGCATTTGCTCAGTTTCCACTGCCTTGGTGAGATCTCTCCGTAGATCAGATGATAGGGCCTAAACACAGGAAATTAATATGGCAATGAGGGTTCATTAGTCAGGCACAGGTATTCCTTTGTAGACAGGAGTTTTATATCTTGTCCCTATTTGTCCTGAAATAAAATTCTACTTTCCATTTAGGCCAAGAGCCATGTTTCATACATGCCATCTCTCAGACAGCTAAGATACAGACAGTTTTATTCTTGGGACTGAAATGAACAGTGAACATAAATTCTTTGATATCTTTTTTCTTGCGAGCAAGCAAGTAAAGAACAAGACAGATGGAAAAGGATTTTAAAGTACAAAGCCATGTTTAAGTACTAGGTGTCAAACTTGCTTTGGCAGGTTTTTTGTCTATCAACTTCAAAGACTAACTGTTAAATTCTACTTGATTTCTTCATTCTTTCAGATTTATTTTTTTTTAAAGTATTGGTGGAAGCTAGCTGCTACTTAAACAAAACACTTTTTCAGGCAGTCCAGAGGTCCAAATAAGAGGTTCTTTCAGGCAGTGAATCTGGCATTGCCCTTTCTTTGGATGTTATGAGGTAACCACTTGGAACATCTCAGACAGCTTGCAATGATGGAAAAATTAAATGCATGCATTTATATATATGTATATGTATGTATATGTGCGTATGTATAAATGTATATATATAGAAACTGAAAACGTGCCTATAGCACATTGAGATTCAATATCTTTATCACTGAAAAGCATCACTCCGATATTTGTCAGAAGTGGTATCTGAATAATAGTAAAGTATGGTATTATCAAGTCCAGTGAACAATCTATTGAAGGAAGAATGAAGTCTTGTTTTTAGCATGGTATTTTTTTATTTCTGATTTCAGCCCACCTAAGTTTTGACACCTGAATGACCCTATCTCCTTTAGCAGTCAGGGAAGAGAGGTAGGTGCCTACAGAGAGGAATTCAGACTACCCGAGTTGCTCTCTCTCTAAGTACCTGTTTTTCTCCCCTGACTATAAAAATGAACCTGCAGGCCACACAGCATTAGCTTAAGCACCTCAGGTAAATGTTTTTCACGTAAGAGGATGGAAAAATGAATCCTTTTTACAAATACTAGCAGAGACAAAGACCTGATAAAGATGTTTTGACAAGTGGTGTCGATATCAATAAAAGCTTGCTCTTCAGATATTTTGATCCCATATTTATTCATATATTCATTCTCTAGTAGAGACTCATAAAGGATTTTATAGGACTTGCAACAATAACCAAGTGATTCCCCAAAATTCACCAGGTGAAGAAGTAACTCTTTAAAGAGTGGGATAAAAGGGCAGGTATGTCCTCTCTCACGTTTAGGTCCCCTCTAATGTAGTTGCTTCTTAAGGATGCATATGTAGCATCAGCACTTGCCCTGTGGAATGTACACTTTGGAGGCCCTGAACAAGTGCTGGACCCATCTACAACAAGGAAAGTGTACCAGTATTAAAAAGCTGGAGTTTGTTTCTGCTTTCCTTATGCTCTGACTTTTGACCTGAACTCTTTTTCACCGTATTTTCTAATCAGAGGGCAGGTTTGCTTTATAGCGCAGGTGCTGTTCTTCGGTTTTAATCTTTGAATAATATATAATTTATGCTGTTTCTCTCATCTCAAAGTTCACCTAAGTTTTATTAACAGTACAGATGCAAACCACAGAATGTTTAGCTGTGGGCATTTTTACCTGCGATGTTAAATGTGCACAACTTTTAATGTAAAATATAAAGCATTCCATACTTCTGCCTTTTCTCTGATATTTCTTTTACTGTTCTGAGTACCAGCATACTAACTTCACTAGTACATTGACATTAAAAATTACAAAAATGGTTTACTATTCATTCTACTAACACCTACCCAGTCACTATGAAGATTATCAGCACAGGAACAGTAGGCAAAGTTGCTTGGATATCTTGTTATAGACTCATGGTTTTAAAATGCTGAGAATAATGATCCTGCCTGATGTAAACGCTCTTTGAAGTCACAGCTTCTCTAGAAGCCTTTTTAGCCTTCCTAAAAATAGGCCATTTAGACAATCACTGGCAGAATATGAAATAACAATCAGGGAAAACATTTCTGAAGGAAATCACTTCATTGTTTTTACTGTCTGAAGGTGGTTTGATTCCTTAGCATTTGATGTACTGTAATGTGAAATACACCTTCAGACCATGAATACAAGGTATGCTGTTTACTACAAAGCATGATATGTGCATCTGCGATGAACACTCTGTTCATCATACTACTAATTAATGTAACCTGAAAACATCTAAGATCTGTCATCCTCATTAGAGAGTAGCATTCAACCTATTAATCATCACAGTGAATAAGTTAGAGTCTGTGCAGACACTCTTTGCTTTGGAGGCTGCAGCCTCTTGCAGTAATTAGCTGGCATCTGTGTTTCAGTAACAAGGTATTAACTTACCTTTCAATGCTTGACGTAAAAAAAAAAAAAAAGAAACTAATAAAAGTCATCCAGTAAGGAGCTAAAAGAATGTTAATTATGTTTATCACTTACTTCATACTTAGAATAAATGGCATTAAATTATAGCAAACCATCTGGCAATCCATATGGTCTCCTGCAGTCCTGGTTAATTCCAGCAAATAGGTCAAGCACAGCATTCACCCCGTTAGGAAAGCACTAAGCAGAGGTGACAAATCTGATAAATCAAATCAATATGAAACACTTTTCCTCTCTCAATTTGGCATAATATGCGCTTTCGTATTTTTTTTGTTGGGTTTTGTTGGTTTGTTGGTTTTTTTTTTTTTTTTCCTTAAGCTCTCTCTTTCCCCCTTCATCTCCTGGATGTTTTTTACAGTTTACTAAAAAGCCATCTTAAAAAGCCAGATCCTGTGATATGATTAAGGTTACAGGTATTGCCCAGCCTCTACTGTTCAGCCTGCGCCTGAAAAAAGCATCCTCTGGAGAAGAGCAACAGTTCCATCTCCATGGCAACTCCTTCTTCTGCCTCTCTTGAGCAGAGACTGTCAATTGTATTAAATTAAGGGTGATGGTTTTGTGATGGACTCCAACACCCGAGGGACCGTGACTGAGACCACCAAACTTTTGTTACGGGAAGACAGAACCTGGGATAAAATGGAATTAGTTGAGTTATCCTGACAGAGCAACCTGTGTTTCTGCATGTGAATGAACACATATGTATATTAAATGCATTTGCATGCGTGTATTCTTATATACCTAAACTATATATGTATTCATACACTTACAGAGCCATATTTATGTTCTAACACACAGAGGAATTGAGGAATTTAAGAAAAAGATCAAATATATTTGACGTCAAGTTGTCTCAGTTCATTCTTCTCTTTTTCAGAACTTCACCTCTCACTTTGTACAGTGTTAACCAGACAAAGGTGATTAGAGAGCTTCTTATCGGAGGTCGATCTGTTTTCAGTAAAAATGTTTTCACTGCTTTCAGTGTAGGTTTGATAGGAGCCTTAGTGGCAGCTATGAAAGCCATGTGACAGGTCTGGTGATTTCAGACACAGCTGACCTTGAGTTTTAGATTTCCTTAGGGAAAAAGCAGTTGGTTTACTCACTTGTCTTTAACTCTTTTCTGTCATTTATTCAAGGACAATTTCAGTTTGAATTTTTTTTTTTGTTTTCTTTTTGGTGTTTTGTTTATTTTAAAATAACTTTTTGGGTGTGATATTGGGTTATAGATATTAGCTTGAGAGCTGATAAATCCTCTAAGCCGTACCCAGTTGTGAAATGTGAGATAGTCTTGCTGGTCTGAAGTTCAAAAAAGAAAAGTCTATTTAAATTCTAGATTATGTTTCTAGGTAAATTATTTAAAAAGTACCTTTGGATCCCTTTTGAAGAAAGATACTATGTAAGTGTAAGTATTGGCCATTACCATTTTTCAAAACACACTTATAATTAAAAAATGCAGCATTTAATAGCTTTCTCTCTCTCTTCTGTATTTCTTAAATTACTCAAGTTTAAGGTTAAGTATTTCCAAATAATAGCAAATCCTTAAAGGATTTTTCAGGTGGCAACACAAAAGTAACCTATAGACATGTTCTCATTTTGACTTTGTTAAATATTAATTTGGAAAATAACATATCATATGGTATGTTCAAAATATTTGTGATTTTATCTCAGTGGGTGTTTTGGTGATATTGCTGTGAAGATGAAATGGCGTGCACAGTGGAGATGACAGTTGCGAAATCCATGTAACACAAACAACAGATGGTTATGGATTTTTACTTTTGGACAGGACCTAGGCTCCTACACTTTTCTCTCTCCCTGGTAATATTTTCTTGTTTTGATTTTACAAATACTGGCACAAGGAATTCAGTGGCCATGGATAAGGAGATTGAGAAGCTTTCTTAAATTGACCTATGTCCTTTGTTGTCAGGGAAAAATGTTTTTCCCCATCAGAATATGCAAAGTGTTGAATTTTAATAACCTCATTTAGAGTGTCCTTGAAAGCAGAACTTATCAGCTTTCTGAATGCCTCATGGGCATGAGGGAATACTTCACATTTAGCCTAAAATATATGTAAAACATCTATGTCGTGTTAATTTGAGACTCACTGATAAAGGAAAAGAAGTAATAATGAGGTGACGCAAGAACAGAGCATTTTGAATCTTA